CGTAAAAATATGTGTAAAAACAGTAATAGTTCTTCATATTTCTCTTCTTGCAAACAATAGTATTTTTGTTCTGCTGTGTATGTTAACATGTAAAAGATATGTAAGTCCCAAGTAGGTGTTTGGATTATGGGTGTGAATAAATGGCAGATAGAATTTAAAAAATGGGGGGGGGAAGGAGAAACTAAAAAGAAAAAAAACCCAAAACCTCCACAAAATTCTTCAGGGAGTTACCTTTTATTTTTATAATTCTTTGTGCAGACCCTTGCTTACACAGTTCTTTCTTTTGAAATTGTTTTGGTGTGCGTGTGGTGTTAGTGTAGCATCAGTTTCAGGTGTCTGTATTTTTGGGAGAAGAGGAGAGAATGGTCCGTGGTCTACTCAAGTTAAAATGATTAAAATTCTTATATATAGACACACACATGCTTCATGCTTTTTGGCCATTTGTGAGTCATGGTGCAAAGACTCATGGTTGAACTGGGTATGGGTGTGTGTTTGGAGGGTATTAAGTTGTGCTGTAAACTAGACCCCCAGATACATATGGGTCAAAATAATCTTGTTTCATATGTTTGAGGAAGTACTGGTTTTGCTTTGATTTTTGTACTTTTCTGTGTCTAAACATTGCTCTAACGCACTTGCTACCTATCCATCCAAGTAACTGTTGCTGTTTTGTTGGCAACAACTTTGAAATAATTTGATAGAAGAGATAAGAATGATGAAGGAGGTATTATTACTAAGGAAGTATAGCAGACCTAGTCCTGTTGCCAGTTTCATTTGACCTTGCCACTGGAGTCTGTAGTCATAACTAGTAATTGATATCAACAATTGTCCTGGGTTTGAGTGAGTGGTGGGGATCTTAGGAGCTATGTGAGAAGAAGTTCTCATTCCCAATAAATTCAGGACAGGTCAAAAGCAGGCTAGCTTTGCTGTCTTCTGGCAAATCTTATGCCAAATACCAGTTGCTGAATTAATATAAGTGGTTGATCTTGGTGAAAGCCATGAGGTAAAGCAATGCAAGAAGTTTTACTCTATGTATAACCAACATTGTTTCTTAGAACATTGGTTGTAACATAAAAATGATGAGTATAAGTAACTCTAATCTTAAAAATCCTTCACTGAGTGTTCATGTCCAGGAGCTGATTAGAATTTCACAAGTTCAAAAAACCATAGAGCACTTGGGAAGATAAAATTAATAAAAAGAGACAATTAATTCAGAAATATCTTAAAGCAAAACCAGTAGTTATAGATCTGGAACTGGTTAATCACTAATGTTTGTTTCAGACATGGGAAAATTATGGTAATACCAGCACATACATACAAGGATGGAATCAAAGATTGGTTTTACACTTAGTTGTAAACAGACTGTGCTCATAAGCTTGAATAGCTGCTAAAAATAGCGGATATTAAAGTTGAGATTAAAGAGACCACTATAGGCCAGCCTGGCACTAGACACTGTCAAACTGCAATAGTGGTGTAACTGTGCCTGATACTCAAGTTTGTTATTTCTGGAACAACATTCTTTCTTGAAACTGTTCATGTTACTTGAAATTATCTAGACAATTAAAAAAAAAATCAGATCATCTATTTGTGAAAGATTTAATAAAGAGATTCATATGTGGGAAGGGTATACTTTCTTAACTTATTGGAAAGATTTCAGAATTGTTTCAAAATCATGACTCTTTTCTACAAAGGATGAAGTGAAGTTAAATTCCACTTAACATCATCTTATTTCCGATATAAGACAGAAGAGAAGATGCGTATACTTGAGATGTGCTCTAAGAAGGAATTGGGCTCTCTGCCATGACCAGCATGATATTGGACATGCAGCAGAGCACTTGGGCAGTCTAGCCAGGAAGGTGTCTCCAAATGCTGTTAGGAGAGAGAATTTAAGGAATTTAATGACATCAGATATGCAAAAGAGCAGCCTATGCTATACAAGAATCATTAAACCCTTGTTTATACTCTGAAATGTTTAAAGAGCAGGAAGTATACAACTAGATTAATTTTTAAAATTATTAATTGAAAAGACTTACATAAAAGAGTGATTATTGTTGCAGCCTAACTGCAGTAATGTAAGTGTGTGTTACAAAGGCACATAATTGAAAATATACTCAGTAGATAGTTATGAAACCAAGACAGACAAACTGAAAATGGCAGATGTACACTGAATCACAAGTACTGGGGACGTTGTTACTGGAAGGGTTCCTATTTATGACTTCAGTGAACTGCTGGAGTCCATAACTTCTGTGCTCTAACTTCCCTGTGTTTCTGCTTATTGTGCTGAAGATTGTTGAAAAGTAGTAATTTTATCCAGAGATTTCATTTTAAAACTATAGTTAGAAATGTGTGCTTATATAGACTCCATAAAAGTCCAGGTAGCATACATGTGCTTTTCTTAAAATTTATTTTTTTCTTATAGTAATTTCTGTGCTTAACCCAAATATGTCCTTGAAAGTACATATTCTTAGTTACATTTCACACTTTTGCACTGCACCTTTAAATGAATAAATTTATAATTTTCTTTTTGTGCTCTCTTCTTGTTCCTTAGATAATTACGCAGTTTTGTAATCTGCATACGGCCTCTTTTTTCAATTGAATAATTTTCTTTAAACAGCAAGATGTTAAAATGTTCTAGCTAACATGAAAGGCTATATAATTATTGGTAACTAATTGTCTTATGATTGGTGTATTACCAGTCTGTTTTGAAAGCTTTTAATACAGGTGTGTTTTGAAATTATTCCATTGATTTGTTTCTATAGAATTGAACTGGGGGACCTCTGAAGATGCACAGAATTATCTCACACTGTTGCTTAGCTCAGTGTGAGAACATGTCCTTCTGCTTGTGCTGCTCTGTATTTTCTGCTCCTCTTAAAAGATAGCTGACAAGAACTGTTTAAAAATAGCAGGCCAAGGGCAGGTGACAAAATGTCACACAAGCAGCACCTGGTCCAGTGACAGCCTGGAGGGAGATAAAAAACAAACCCAGATGTCACAGATATGATTCTATTTCTGAAGATGGTCAAATAGCAGAATTTAACTTCAGAAAGGAAAAGAGAAGGGCTGATCCAAGCATTATGCATTCAAATTTTACTCTAGATTTTTCGTAGCAGTTCCCTTTTTTCTATTACTAGTATTAGTTTACAAGTATAGATTACTATATACACCTTTTCTCTTCACAATGAATACTTGTAACCTCATGTTTATTAATATGCTGGTAGGGAAAAGGGAATTGATGTAAATCTGGCAAGATTTTTGAAATATTTTAGCACAAGCTTATATTAACTGAAATAGCAGTTTTAATGTTTCTGCAGTGCCAGATTAATGTGAAAATGTGTATAGGAGAATTATGTCAGTAATTAGGAAATCTGAAGTAGTTAATGAAGATCTCTTTAGGAAGCTTTGCTCAGGGAGCTGGAAAGTAAAAATGGAAATTTTATTTATCTTCCTTCTGCCCCCACTTCTTTCTGGAGGGGCTGTTTGCTTCATAGTATTATTGTGGCAACACTTTTTTCTAAAAGAACGAGAAAATTATAATGTGCAGAATATATATATTTTCTTTTCTCAAACTGTTTGTGCCAGCTTCAGCAGTGTACTGAAACTTCATGTTGCATCTCTTCAGAAAGAATATCAATTACAGCACAGCAGTCTCTGTGACTGAAAATAGAAGACTTCAACTTATTGATAGGAACTAAAACTGCTGGAGAAGATGGACTTTGGTTCTGCTTTGTCAAAGCTTATTTGTTAAAACTTGATTTTGGAGAAGTATAGGAACTTAGTGGTTAGGTTGGTTCTTCAGTATAGTGAGTGGGTCTTGAGCTCCCATATTTGAGTGTCAATGCAGTGAAGAAATGTAAACTGCCTGTTTCCTTAGCTCCCAAACATAATCACAAATTTAGAGACAGAGCACATGAAAGTGATTACAGCATGTGTAAGTAACTTCAGTTACTTATACTACTTAATTGAAATAAATTTTTATGTGTCTATAATGATCCTTTTATACCTTTTTCCAAACAAGTACTAATATCAATTACAGCTTTCAAATTGTTTTGGGGGACTTAAGAAAGTCCTGTTACAAGGTTTCTTCAGGGTTTTTAATAATCCAGATCAGTTAAATAGTACCTAAAACTAAAGCTAATCTGAAGAGTAGTAGAGCTGGCTCATTTCTTGCTTTGATGGTAAAAATATATTTCTGTGGACTGTCTCCTTTGAAACAAAGTAACTGTGTATGAATTTGTTCCCATTTCCAGTTCCTGAAGTCATCAGAGATCTTCTTAAGCCAACCTTTCCACTGTTAAATATCACCCCAGAAAACTGGTCCAATTTTACATATTTCTAGCCTCCTGGAAGCTGGCACCAGCAGAGTTCATCTGAATTTCATGGTGAACCTTCTGTATATGATGGTCCCATATTATGGGTCAAGAATAAATATTTTTCAAAGTACATATAAATGTACTTCATGAGAACAATGCTTCCTCCAAACCACTATCTTATCTCAAACACTAAGTGATAGCAGATTCTTAGGGAAAAATACAAAAACAGGGTAAGCACTCTGTCTCTGACAGTCAAGAGCTTCTGGTGTCACAGGTAGTATGGACAAAATATTTATTTATTTATTTTTACCAATTAGATGGAGCTTTTGTAATGCTATACTTGTTATTTGAAGTCTACTATAAATGGCATGACTGCAGCAAGGTTGAACACTGACGCCTTATTTTGAAAGGGTAAATGTAATGTTTTCCTAGTACAAAGGAGATGGATGTATTAAAAAAACAATTGTTTCATTATTTATTTTGTGATTTTTTTTTTTTCAGTATTTTAAGTACATAACACTAGAGGTAATATGATGTTAAACATCATAAATGTGTATTCTTGGGAAGTTGTCTTCAGTAGATGGAAGATTTGGTTACCCTGAGTGTTCATACCTGTTAGCAGTTTTTTATATTAATGAATTTAATTCAGTTTTGAAATCAAAATATCAAAAATAGCTGTTATTTATGTTGCAGGGCGTATGGGCATAAACTTCCATCATCCAGGAACAGACAATATTATGGCTCTTAATAGTAAGTAGTTAATATCTAATGACTAATATTGTAATGTTTAATGTTGTTACATTTGTTGTATATGTAGCTATAAAGTCAGACATAAATGTGTAATAATAATATTTGCACAGAAGTTTGTGCACTCTCTTAAAATGATTTTTGTAAATCAGTCACCTCCGATTTTCTTGGTAGACATGGTGATTCTTTATATTAGCTTTATAATAGATAATGTGTTCCACTGGAAGCTTCATAATGCCTGCTATAGATAATATTGCAAAACAATCTCTGTTTCCTCTTTTGTGGGTGTGAATGTGTGTTAAATCTGTAACTTTAAGTTCTGATATCTCTCCAGACATATTTCTTCTTCTTAGAATGAGTTGTTACAAGTTTTGCATACATTATATTGACTGATGGAATTTACTTTGGTTTCCCTAAAGCATTATGTAGACAGGACTGGAACGAATGTTTAGACATCTAAATAATGAAGAAAAAGTTTGGGGCTGAACTTAAATAAAAGCAATAATCTTTCAGTAGTTTTGGAATATAAAAATAAATTTTAAAAATCTAGTCATGAACATATGCATTTAAAAAAACCTGCCAAAATGGATCTGGAAGCTCTAGAAACAGACTTGTATCATGTAGGAGGGGTGTGTGGGTATGGGGTGTTAAGCACCACCGGCATAATTTAGAACTGAACTATTCAAATCAAAGCACAATTTTTGTCCATCTAATCCTAAGAAATGCTAACTATTTTGAAATGTCAGCTTTTGTTTACCATGTTGTATTAGAAGTGTTAGGATTAATTTAAGAGCTTCTCTAATTTTTTTTACCTTTGCACTGTCTGTATAAGTTACATTTTGTATGGTTGAAAACTGCAGTTCTTTGTGTAGCACCAAACAGAATCTAAAAATAATTTATAAGTGTGAAGAACTGAAAATCTGTAATAGACAAGACGCAAGGGTTTTAATATTTTGCTTTAAATGTCAGCTTTTAGAACCTGTAAGACATTGCTTGTGCTCTTTTTCTTAGTTTTACACTGTTAATGATGAGGTGATATTCTGCAGTTTCTGTTGTCATAGTTAGTGCATATGCTCCATTTTTTTATGGGCACGTGAAATTATGGAAAATCAAGTAATTAACTGGGATAAATGATCCATTTGATTAAAGACTTCTTTAAAAGACGAAGTTGTACATGTGGCTGTGTGTGTGAATAAGTTCTATACAGGACAGTCTGCTGCTGTTTGACATGAATTCTGGTTTCAGAATGTATTTTTTGTTCTAACATGGGCACTTCAATAAGCTGATTGCAAGAGTAATATAATTGTGAGGATAGGAGGTGATGACTGAGTTTTGAGTTGTTTTTAAAAATTGACAGTTACTATGGAATATATAGCAGTATTTCTTACAAAGTCTTGTAGAGATTTTTGAAAGACAGGAATGAAAAACAGATACAAAAATCTATGCTATATATGGTACTATATCAAATCAAGGTTGTTTCATTTCAGGGCAACTCACTTTTATCCTGAATGAATGAATGTATTCTATTCTGATTTCTGTCATTGCTAGATAAGCTTAAAAAAAAAAGTTTCCTTTTAATGGAAATAGTATTTCAGAAAATATTTCTTCCTGTGTAATTCCTTTGTAATTTTTACAGTAGCTATATAATCTATTTGTTTATAAAATATAATGATCCTTTGCAGCTGTAGTCCTGGTGTATGGCTAAAATACTAGTGTAGCTAACTGAGAGACCTAAAAAAATATATTTATGCATTTGCAGTATTTAAAATATGATGGGTTTACTTGAAATGTTAACTATTTCTAGACTTATGTAAACCTGGAATCATAAATATACAACCTATGCAGAACAGTAGTGATTGGGTTTTTGAATGAAATTCAGCACAAATCAGAAGTCTGGGTAAGTTCCCATATATTTTACCTCTCCTGCATCTCTTCTTCCTCCCATTCTTTACTAGAGGAGGCCACACCATTTTGGGCTATTACCAAGAGCCCAGAAGCTAGAATTACTGTACTCTGAAACCTGTTGGGTTTTGCTCTTAAATCTTTGAAAAGTTGAAGACAAGCAAGTATTCAAGTATGTAAGATTAATAATTACTTTGTGATTTAAATCCTCTTTTGTATGCAGCTAGAACTGAGAAATTTAGAACTATGTAATTCCCATGTGATCCATCACCTTTGTCATGGGGAAATATACTAAGGAAAGTTAGTCCAAGAAGAAATAATCTTTCCTGTGCCAGAATGGTTGTGGCTTGTGTTTAAAAAAAATAAAATAAGTAAAATAAAATAAAAATTTGCCCAAAATATTTCATCCCAGTAATTTTTGGAATAATTTGGAGAATTTACATAACTTCTTTAAGTGATAATACTTGTAATATCTATATATAATTTCTGTGAAACCAAACACTGCTGAATTTGCAAATCCAGATTTCACTTTCTACTTATAGTTGTTGCCACATAAGCATTTTTCTCTTTTCCTGCAAAGACACGGTAATAATCCTTAAGATTTATCAGAATTATTTATTTATTAAGATTTATTACTCTATTTCTCACTAACAGTGTATGCAATCTTTTGAAGCTGGAAGACAACATAGGCTCATGCCAACTGCAATCCAAATCCTTCATATGTTGTAGGGAGAGGGGAAGTTTTCTGAGGGTTGTTTGTCTCTAGCTCCTTTTCATCCTTTATGGCAACACTTTCAACTGTACTTCAGGTGGTATTCTTATTTACTGATAACAGCCTTCTGAAACCAGGGATTTTCCTGCCTGACTGTCTTGAGCTACTGTCTATAAATGTTGAAGGAGATTGTTTGGTATGAGGGAAGGTGTTACTTGGTTAGATGTCAGGGCTTAGTGTAGAGTATACTACCACCATTTTGTTCATCATTGTGCAAAGCTATAAATCATCATCATCTCAAAGCACTGAGCTCTGAAATAATAAAATTAGTGAGATAGATTATTTTTAGATGCATAATTATTATATCTTCTTGTAATTAATGACATTATGCTTGTGTACATGCACAAAATCTTGCACATATGTGTAAGCAGGTTTATATGGTAGAGGTGCTTGAAGTTCTCTATCAGAATTAGGCTTCTGTTGAGGAATGCAGTGTTCAAATATTCAGAGATCTGAGCATAATCCTAAAGAGCATTTAAACAAAAGGAAGATGCGAATAATTCAATTTGAAAGATTGTGCAAAGGGAAAAAGCTATAGCTTTTTGTATGTACCTGCTGTAATTGAAATGTCAGTAATTGAAATAGTGTTTTTAATCAAGTAGTGACATTGGTCTGTTAACTTTTTAATAACGTGATTCATAGTGAGCTGAACAGTAGAATAATTTTTATAAAGTTTCATCTAACACACCTGATTACATAAAATTGATACTGTAATTTCTAGGGGAAATGTGGCACAAATTGAACAACTGATTTTATTTATATAAATTATTGTATTAACTTAAAAAGAAACCATCTATTGATGATACTTCTAGTAGATGTTTGCAATGCTAATTAAAAATATGTTTACAATACTAAGCAAAACCGGAGAATAAATTAATTTGATTTGCCAAAATTAACTCAAAGGTGTCCCCCATCCCCTTCTCTTGTTAGGATTCACTCCCGTTTGCAGTCATACATTTCTGTAGCCATTGCTTCTGTTGGGGGACACTGGACATTGTCTTGAGTTAATATGTGCTCCCTTTTAATTAGCTATATAATTAGGACTAAATGATCAACAAGAATACAGTTACCTATGTGCTAGGTAGTGAGCTATCTTTAATGCTTTTTGTGACCTCCAGAAAGCCAACAATAAGCTTTAGTGGGAGAGAAGTATAGCAGGTGAAAAGGCGAGATAGGGAATAAACAAGGGTGTGTGATCTTTCTAAGGAAGCATTGAACTGTATTGCTGGGATCCCAAACAAGCTTCTGTAAAATGAGTTTAGTCTAAAGGTCGTTCAACCAACAAATGAGAAAAAACCCTTTGTGAAATGATGAAATTCTGTTTTTTTTTTCTAAAGCTCCTCTGCACAGTGACTTTGCACTGCTGTTGGGCTTCAAATTTTCCATCTGCTTCCAATGTTCATTCTTGTCTCATATGAAAATGTGTCATCTGTGAGGTCTGGTACTATTTGCTCTCCATCTGACTGTCTTTTCTTCTTTGCATTAGTGTCATTTAGTTCTGTATGTTCTGAGTGAAATAAATTGAAAAATACATTAAGGCAAGGGTTTGGGGCATCTTTTTAGATGTTTGTGTAGAGATTTTGGTTTTGCTTTATTAATACAGATAGTAATTATGTGGAAAGTCATCATGCCATGACAGAAAATGTAATGGCAGCAAGACAATTTAATTTTTTATTATCATGCTTCTATCCGTTTTTAAATAGCCTTGTCTCCTTAAGAGCTAATGTACTTGGCTCTCCCTATATTCTGTTGTATTGTTTTCAAACACATAAAGTGTTTAGATATATAACAAAGTTGCTGAAATAGCATTCTATATTTAAATCTTTTGACAGTGTTACTGGTATACCTTGAAATGAACCACTCTGACTAAAAGGTTTATTGAATTATTTTTTTCTTGCAAAATCTTGGGTTGGCAGTTTAATAGCTAATAAAAGCTTGGGTTTTGTAGTGATAATATTCTGGGAAATGTGCATCTAAATTTTGAGAGGCATCAATCTCTTTTAATGGTTTGGTTACCTGCCTATAGGAATTTGCTGAGCTCTTTAGCCGAATTGCCATAATCTCATTTACTAACGTGTTACTAGCTTATTAACATATAAGGAATAATAGAAAAGAATAAAAGACACTGAGAGAGCTAATAAGGTTTGCAAAACTAGACCTAATTTAATAACGAAGAGATCCGAGTTTATTTAACTGGAGGGAAAAATGAATGATGTTAAGTGTGACATAGCAAAGGCAGCAGGGTTCATGAGAGTCCCAGGGTGTGAAAACTGTCACTTTACACATAACCTTGCTAAATTTTTCAGAACCAGATGTACAGTTAGTACTG